GTTCGTCGTGCCCGACCTGACGGGCTTCAAGCTGCGGCCCTACGTGTCGTACCGCGCCCCCGAGGGCTCCGAGCCGCCCATGACGGCCAAGCAGCTCTTCGACCAGCTGGTGGCTCCGCGCATCGAGAAGGACGTGAAGGACGGCACGTTCGACCCCAACAACCTGCAGAAGTACGGCTTCGAGCCCACGCAGGAGGGCAAGCTCTTCCAGCTCTTCCCCAAGAACTACGTGCGGTAGGGAGCGGGCGGTGAGACCGCTGGGCAACGCGGGACAGGCTCCGTCACTGGACAGCAAAGCAAATCCTTCTGCCTTTGAAATCTGCGGTGTGACTGGTGATGCTCTGGGAGACAGCTGTGCCTGGTGAGCAGAGCCCTCTCTGCGGTTCTGAGGATGAGGAGTCCATCATGTTTCTAAATAAAAAGTACTGCAAAGTTTAAGAATTAAACTTTAAAAATTAAATTAAGACTGAAACGTTCACTCTGGGAGAAAGGAAGGAAGATCAGTGGATGGTCTGTGAGGGCTGTAATATGGGCTGACAGATGAGTCCTTACAGTGGTGTGGGGGGTTCAAACCCCCACATTTTGGGGCTGGGCAGGGCTGTGATGGAGTGGGGGTGCTGCAGCCCCAGTGACACAAGGATGAGCCACAGTGGGCTGGCTGGGGATGAAGAAGGCTTTCAAACAGCTTTTCTAACTGAGCTCTGCGTTTTTCCCCTCCTGTGGAGCTGATCAGAACCAGTCACACACAAGCGGCTGTTACTGCCTCGCTGCTGTTGGCAGCTGTGGCCCCTCAGCTTTGGGAGCCTTGCTGCCCATCCAGGGCACTTGGCAGGGGGATGCAGGGCTGGAGAGCAGGAAATCCTCTGCCCTTTGCTGCCATTTCCAGCGTGCTCTTCACCCCATCATTCCTCTCACACCCCATGGAAGGAGATCACAGCTGGCTCCTCATTGCTCTGAGCAAAGCCAGGCCTGGCCCAAAGCCCAAACCGGGCTGGCCCAGTGGGTGTCACCCTCCAGCCTCGCTGCCCTGGGGCCGTTCCCTGCTCTGACAGGGCAATAAAAGCCATTACAACCTTTCAAACAGACACAGGGACACACCCTCGGCTTTCCCAGGAAACTGGCTCCTCCACTCTGCCTCCCATAGAATATTCACCCCTGGAGCCCCAGGTGTCCCAGGCCAGGGCAGGAGGTCCTCACAAGGACTGTCAAGTAACTTGATTTTTAAAACTCAACCAAAAAAAGATAAATTGCTTATATCGGCTTTATTTTAGAAACATCCAAAAATAGCATGTTTGTTTTTTCTTTAGCAAAAGCTCTTGTTTTCATTACTAATATGAATCTTCATGTAACAGTGCTCCAGAATGTTTGCTAAAATACACCCTTGAGAAGGGGGTTACAAAGCAGCAAAGTTCTCATCTGCTGCACCTCATTTAGCTGCAGCACTGTTACACAGAGACCTGTTGCTGGTGTTTCTTTCCCTCCACACAATTCATTCTTTAGGACCCTCAAAGACAAACCGTGCATGCTAAAGGCTACTGATCTAGTTTAAGCTGGTTTTTTGTTTCTAGGAGTAGAGAAATGTTCCAGAAAGGGTTTTGCTGATGTTTCACAGTGAAAAAAAAGAGAGCTGATGGAGCAACCATGAGAAATCCTGCAGCCATTCCTGGAGGTAGTTAGGGCAATGCTGTTAAGATTTTGGTTTCTGTACTTACTTTAAATTTAAAAAGATATCAAGAAACACTACTTATACTTTTTGGAGGTTTTGATCTTAAAGCTGTTCACCTTTTATAAACTGAGCTTGACTTTGGACCTAAAGGTGGCTCTGTGGAGAGCAGAAGGAATGAGCTGAATATGGAGAGGCCATGGGGTGGGTGAGTGGCACTAAAACATGGTGGGGTCACTACAGGATTTACCTGAGCCAGGGTGTGCTCAGGGAATGATGAAGGAATCTGCAGGCAGGTGATGAGTGATGGAAAATGATGGGGAAGCACCAGGACCCTCCCAAGGAGGATCCCCCAGCACCTCCCATCACACAGCCAGCCTGCACTTCCTTCTGAACCACGGCTTGTCTCTGTTAAACATCACTGTGAGCACACTGCCCTGCATCTGGCCTGCCTGAGCTCTCCTCCATCACACAGCCCAGCCTCTGCCCAGGGGCTTTTCTGAGCCATTCAGGAACCCTGCTGATCACTGAAGGGGTCTGCACAGCAGCACAAACAAGTCTGGTTTGTGAGGCAGGAGGAGAAGGGGCCTGACAGATCCATTGTGAAATGCAAACCAGCCTTGGAAGGGTCAGATCTGAGGTACAAAGCAGCAGCCTGTCAGAGGAACTGGGACATGAAAGGAAAAACTAAATAAACCTGTCTGGCCATGACCACAGGCCTGTGAGCAAGGGCTTTCCTCTGTGCTGAAAATAAAACATCAGGAATCCCAGCAGTGATGGCCCTGAAGGACTCCCAGGCTCAGCAGGGAGATGGGAAAGCCCAGCAGAAGTTCAGCTCTCACTCTCAGTTCAGTTTTCCCCCTCTTCCATTGGGACTGGTCAATGGACACTTCCAGCTGTTCCTTTGGATGGAGATCTGGGACTTGGCACATCTGGAGGGGTCACCAGGCTCATCTCCCACTTCCAGACATGGAGGATGTTGTCATAGAAGGAACAAGTGGCCACAAGGCTCATTTCTTTGGGGCTGTCTGGGGACCTGGCTGGGTCACAGCCTCTGTCCAGGCCCATTCCATTGGCTCTCTTGGCTCCTGAGTCAGAGCCACTGGCTGACCCAGGATCTGCCCCTTGGGCAGCCAAATCTAAACCTCCCTTTAAACCAGAGCCCCTGAGCAGTCCAGCATCCCCAGCCAGCTTTGGCCCTGCCCCTGTGGGTGCCACAGCAGGGCTTTCACTCTCCTCATCCAGGATTACATCAAAAGTAGCTGTAGGAGACTCATAAATTATCTTCAGGTTCTGCACCTGCAAATTGAGCCTCTCATCTCCTTGCCCTGCTGCTGCCACGAGCTCCTCCTGAGGCTGGCACGCAGCAAGGTCCTGGCTGGCAGGCAGGGCATCCCTTGGACACAGCCTTGACCAGTCAGCCCCATAGGCCAAGGAATTGTGCAGGACATAGGATGACAGGATGATACACTCCTCTGTGTTTTCAGCTTGAAGAAAAAAAGAGAAATGAAATTACTTAGAAATCAAGTTGTGGCACAGTGCTCAGCAGCCATTCCAGCACTGGTTGTGTCTCATGGGAAGAGTTCTCTGGTTATTCCCTTCTTCACCACTGAGTGAAGCAGGAGGAATGAGGTTCTGAACATTTTTCAGCCATCTCTTAATGATTCCTCCTGGGTCAGTAGCAGAGGAGAAGAGGGTTTAACATGCATGAGATAAAAGAGCATCACTATTCAAAGTGCCTACAAAGGCTCAAGACAGATCAGACTGGTCACACCACAACCTCCACTGAGCCATGAACACACCTGGGGGACTGCCAGCTGCTGGTTATTAACACACTGCAGATGTTCTTCCTGTCAGCTTTCAACACCTGACCCTCACAGTGAGTTCCTTCCTTCCCCACACAGGGGAAATGCCATCCTCTTTTCCTAAGCTGTTGATCTGCCCAAGGTCTGGAGATCCCAAGAACCCAACCATCCTCTGTCAGACTGCATTTGTGATGGGAATGCAAACAGCTTTTCCACCATGGAAGTACCTTGTGATTACATTGAGTTTATTCATGTTATTCTGGATTTACCAGGCTGCAGAGCACTTCCTTCCTGAGGCAATAACTGACTCCCCAGCGGGTCAGTGACTCCTGCTAACAGGAAAGCACCACCTGACATTCAGATGCACCTCTCTGAACCAGCACAATGCACACAAACCAGAGTGGCTGTGCCCTCACACCAAACACAAAGGCTTTCCTCCATGATAAAACGCTTTGAGAGATTTACACACAGACAGTGACAGGGCCTTGGCACAACCAAGCAGGCCAAGAGAGTGCCCAGATGTGGAAAAGCTGGAAGTTCCCTCAAACTGGAACAGAACCTATGGCTGTTAACACCATCTCAGACATTCCAGCAGGACCTGGAGCTCCCCATGACCCTGGGGGCAGCAAAGGGGCACGGCAGCACCTCTGCTCCCCAGAGCAGCCCTGGGGCACCTCTGTCCCCAGACACTCACCCAGGCTCCCACGGCAGTCCAGGATCTTGAAGCCGCTCTGCATGCAGGCTGCCAGGAGCACGAAGTCACGCGTGGGGTGCCACTTCAGCCTCCACACCCCCCCTTCCACGTGGGTGTCAGCCAGAGGCTGCCTCATGTTCCTGGTGTCCCACAGCAGCACGTGCTCGTCGTAGCTGGGGACACAACACCGACAGGCACAAAAGCACAGCCAGGTCAGGGCACAGAACAAAGGGAGGAAAGGCCACATGCTCTGCACCACATGGAGTTTCTGCAGAGGCAGCAGCACAACCAGGGCTGGCACACCAGGGGAGAGCTGGAAGGGACTCACCTGCCTGTGGCCAGGAGATTCTCCCGGTGGGGACTGCACTGAATGCTGCACACACCCATGGAATGTCTGCAGGGGGAAGAGACAGCAATTTGAGAAGGGCTTCTTCCTTGAATTTAAAGGATTTTTCAGTCCACATTATTTCATCAAGGTGTCTCAGGAGAAGTCAGCTCTAAATTTCAGTCCAGTGACCTACCCAAGCAGAGTTTCATCTACAGAGTCCATCAGCCCTCCCAGGGACAAAACTCCTATTCACACCATCTCTCAGCACAAAAATTTTCTAGTAATATTTACCCCATAAACTGCTGCTCAAAGGCCCTAAGAATTCCAGCAGAACAACTCCATTCCCAGGAAACTTTACTCCCAAAATTAGTATTTCCATAGCAATAATCCCCAGTGTAATTTAAGTTAACATACAGAATTCCACTGCAGAGCTGTGTATATTGTTTTAACCATTTTTTTAAATAAGATAGAAAAGAGATCACTTCAAACAACTAAACAGTAGAGAAAAAAATATTTTCTACAAACCATTCCATAATAATATATCCAAATTTAACACACACAGAAATTGCCAAAATAAAAGCGTAAATCAGGATCATCCTTTTGTAGAAAGAAACTACCACCTTCTTCACATGTGGAAGTCAGCACTTGGTTTATTGTGTTAAAGGAAACAGAGAAGAAAGTTTCAACCTGAAGTTGTTCTGATGAAAAAAAACCTAATAGGCTTCCCAAGGGAGGCAGAACACGGACCCACTGTCACTGCACATGTCTGAATTCAGTGGCTTGGCCGGGGGCAGGGCAGCAGGGAGGGTTCCCACCCCACTGCTGGGCATGGATGGGTCTCACTCACCTCCTGCTGGTGAAGACTGGAGCCTCTGGACTGCACCTGGTGTCCCAGCCCTTGAGCAGGCTGTCATCCCCTCCTGCCCAGGGACAAAACACTGTCACCCTCAGCACCAGCCCTGAGCACGGGGCAAAGCAGTGCCAGGGGTCTGCAACTCCCACCTCTGCTCTGGGCCAGGGACAGGAGCCAGGGCACGGCTGGGGCTGGGCCAGGGCAGCTCAGGCTGGAGCTCAGGGCAAGGCTCTGCCCCCAGAGGGTGCTGGCACTGCCCAGGCTGCCCAGGGAATGGGCACGGCCCCGAGGCTGCCAGAGCTCCAGGAGCCTTTGGGCAGCGCTGCCAGGGGTGCCCAGGCTGGGGCTGCTGGGGGGGCTGGGCTGGGTTGGATTGATGATCCCGGTGTCCCTTCCTGCTCAGGGCAGTCTGTGACACAGAGCTGATGCTTCCCAGCCCTGGGATCTCACAGAATTTAACAGACACACCAAAAATCACATTAGGCTCCCAATACTCATCACCACAGAAAACACAAGTGGTGGCAATATGGTGCTACCCTCTTCTTTGATAAGAAAAATAACAGAAGTCATAAAGACTGGACTCAAAGAGCTCTCTGGCTCTTGAGAGACTGCAGGAGGATATACTCTTTTTTGTCAATAGTCACTCAAAATACAGTTTTCAGGGTACAGCTTCCAACCCCTTTCCACCATGAAGGAATGAAGCCTTTCACCCCTCATCAGAGGACCCAGCTCTGCCAAGAGGTGATGCAAGCAGCTCACCCAACCCTGGCAAGTAAAACCCCAAGGAACACATCCCCAAACAAGGGGCCCCTCCCCAACAGCCCCCAAGGGGATCCCCAGCCCATACAGACCTGAATACACAATATCAATGTCCCAGTAATTAAAAGCAGCAATCCAGGCCTCAAATTTGTGAGCTTCCCACTGGTTCAGGACATGCACAGAAGGAGCAGATTCATCTATGGAGAAAAGATTCAGCTTCCCCTCTGAATCACTGCTGATCACTCTTAAAGGACATCCACTACAGCAGGGTACACAAAAACATTGGGAATTACTGTGACAATCAAATATTTCAATTCAAATAAACACTGGCAGAGACTGGCAGCATGGTGCCAGCAATGACACATTCATACAATTCTTTTCAGCTTCATCTTAAAACCACCTGCCCCAGTAACTGCCACTCCCTGCTCTCAGAGGGAGCAACCACTCACACCCAGGTCAGGGAAAGAACCACTACTGGCTCTCATCTTTCTCAGAGATGCAGAACTTGACTTCTTACATGGTTCACAGTACATCAATAAACAAATTCCATGTGAAGAGGGTTCTTTTTTTTTTTTTTCTCCAAGTCAGACTGACAATGCCCTTTCAGAGCCTCTTCCCTCTTCTGGAGTACAAAGAGATGTTTTATTTCCTCGCTATCACTGAAACCCAAAGCACTGGCTGATCCTGACCTTTCCTGCTCTCTTCCTGTGCCACAGTACAGTTACAGTTTCTACACACAATGACCTTGGAGCACTGGCAAATGTTTTGCAATTCCCAGAGCACAGATTTTTCTGGCCTTCCCTGACATGAGCTAGGTCCCTTCTGTTTGGTTACCTGCAACTGCAGGCACTGCTTTGGTGGCCTGGGGCTTCTTTCCAGTTCTGTATCAAATTATTCAATCACACTCCCAAAATTTCAATCTCCCAAATTGCCACATAAGAGATACAGAAGATTCACATCCCTTCCTGCAGAGATGTGAACAATGTACATTTGGCTTCTAGGAGAAGTTACTGGTCTCTCAAGTGACAACAATGACAGGTTTAAAGGGGCATTTCATCATGGCAACAATCATTTATCATGAAGGACAGAAACAAAAAATAAGGAGGAATGTAAGAGGCAAGTCTAACTGGCAATTCTACTTACTCATTAACACAATTGCACACACAGAAATGGCTTTAATTAGCAAATTTGCCCTACAGCATTAAGCAATGACTGCCTGATCCCCCGGGTTTCCAGCCTCACACCAAAGGCACCACTCTTCATCTGCACCTACAGAACACATTAACCTCCCTCCCCTTCAAGGTACAGTTAATTCAGCTTATTTCACACAGCAATGCCATTTCTGAAATCTCATGTATGAGCAGTTGAGAGAAGAAGGAGCCACTTCCACACCAATTCTCTCCTGTTTCTCACTAACCCATGATTAAACTCCCTACATGTGCTATTATTAGCAGTTCTTAAGGAGAACTCCACACTAAAATTTCAGCTGTTCTTACAGCAGAGTTGGTACCAGCAGCTCCATTTGCATCCCATTCTGGTCCTTCCTTTTAACAAAGGCAGCAGAGGACACATCCCTGGCTCCCTGCTGCCATTCCCCAAAGCACAACCTCCCATTTGTTGTTAGTGATTAGTGTGATTAGTCTCTGCTCCTGTTCCAGTGGCCACACTGTTTGTGTTCCTGTTATCCTTACTCTGGAAAGAGCTACTTCTAGAGCAGGGCCAGGGAGCCAGCTGGATCAAGAAAGTCAAAACCACTAAAGACTGCTTCATACAAGCCCTCAACTTCTCCTGAAAGTTCTCCCCCACACCCTGGCTCCAGCCCCAGCCTCCCTCTCCCATCCTCACCACTGCTCTCGTCCAGTGGACCAGTCCAGGGACAGGGCCAGGCGCTGTGCCCCGAGATCCACCCTGAAGCGTGGCTCCAACATGCAGCTGTTCTTCTACTGGAAACAAAAGGACTCCATTAAGACAGCAGGCACATGATGACAAGTGCACTGCTTCCCAGAGAAGGTTTTCCACAGACTGATGAGCAAATGAGGGTCCCACAGTAAAGAAGCAATGAAATGTGCCACAGCACTGTACAATCATCCAGTGCTGGCTGAGGGGCAAACGTGCACACACAGGATCCCACCCTTCTGCTGCTCATCTCCCATCAAACCTCCCTGAAACTCTGCTGCTTCTCAGGGAGCAATGAAGTGCAGCAGCAGTAATGACCTGACTGCTGAATTCCCTTACACTCTGTGAGGGTGGCTCTGATCACCCTCTTCTCTCACCCCACTCCAAAACTCCTCCCTGCTTTTACCAGCTTTGCACTTTCTGATGTTTCCCAGTCAGGCCATACTTGTATCCAGGGTCTGCTCCTTCCCTCCTCCTCCCTCCCCTCCCTGACTCTGCAGATGGGTAGAGCCCAGCCCAACTCTCTGGCACCATGAAGAAACTCATAGAATTTATAACAAACATTATCAGAGGACAAAAGAAGTATTTAAAAAGCTAAGCATGCTGAGGAAGCCATGGAAACCAGCTTTCCTGCAAGCCTATACACACCACCAGTAAATGCAGAGAGGTAGCAAACATGGCTTAAAACAGCTTCAGCAGCAGGCACTGCATCCACCCACCTCACTTCCAGTCAGGTGGAAAAATTCCACAGCACCTGTGGAGTTTGCAATGCCAACCATGGGATGTTCTGCAACAGGAATGTGGCACCTAAAAGATCAAGTTAAACAAGTCTCCAATGTCCATCTTTTTTGTATTTAGGAATAGAGCAAAGCCATAACTTTCTTTCCAACATGCACAAGAAGAAGGTACGTAACTAAAAAAATCTTACATTAAGAAAATCTAAGGCTCCTCAAGCTCCCACACACCTGCAAGGAGGGGATTCTGTACAAGGGAGATCTACTATATGTTATTATATAAATAAATGAGGTACAAAGTCATGACCAGCCCAGAGAGCAGAAAGTATGAAACAGAAACAAGGCAGTCCTTGCTCATTGGAACAAACTGGAAAGTATTTCCCTTCAAGAAGTCAGGAACTGTTCCATTAGTAACTATTGCTGTTGCTGCCATGCCAAAAAAGGATCCCGGGAGGAGCAGAGCGTGCTGCTGTGGCACCGAGCCTGGAGGGCCGCAGTTACCATTTGATGTCCAGGATGGCGGCCGTGTCGATGCGCTGGATCTCGGTCAGAGGGATGTAGGGCTGCTCCTCGTTGTAGTGGTACAGGTAGAGCCGCCCCGTCCGGTCACAGGCCCCGCTGCTCCCCCGGGAATCGCTCTGTGGCAAAAACACGGGAAAGAACGGGGCAAGCTCAGCCGCGCTTCTGCTTCCTTCCCGGAGATCCTGCTCGGAGCGAGGGCAGGGCTGAGGCTGCCACTTGTGCAGTCCCAGCCTTGAGGCATGAAAGGAGAGAAGGGATGAAGGGAGCCAGCCACGCTCACCGGAGGGGCCTCTCTGCCCTCCTCGAGCCGTCCCAGCCGGGACAAGGCACGGCCCCGCGGCGGCGAAGGGCAGAACCGGGGACGGGGATGCGGCTCGCCCGGAGCGGGGCCAGGCGGGGACCTGGGTTCGCCCTGCTGCGGTGTCGGCCAGTGATGGAACCGGGGCTCGCCCCAGAGCGGTACCGGGCAGAGACGGGGATGGGAGTTCGCCCTGGAACGGTACCGGGCGGGGATGGGGACGCGGGCTCGCCCCGGAGCGGGGCCGGGGCCGGGCTCACCTGCTCGGGCGGGCGCAGGTGGTAGGTGCCGCAGGCCAGGATGCTGTGCCAGCCCTCCACCGGGCACCACTCCACGGCGTCCGCGCTGAACTCCGTGTCCACCACCTGCAGCGTGCGCGTCCTGCACGGCGCGGCCATCGCGGCCGGGCCCTGCTGCGCCGCCGGGGCGGCTCCCGGGAGGCTCCGGGGAGGCGGGGCCGGCCCCGTCTGCTTCCCGGTCAGGGCGGGCCCGGGGCGGAGCTGCCCCCTGGAGCCGCCTCTTCCCCCGGCCGGGCTGTTCGCACACGGGGGGTTCTTCTTGTCTGCCCGAGCTCCCGCCCGATGCGTCCTTGCCGAGGGAAGGGGCTGCGGCTCCAGCGCCCCCCCCGGAGGGATCCCTGCCCTGACCCGGCAGCCGCTCACGAGGGAAAGCCGCTATCAGCCTTTCCTCGCCATGCCCCCAGCCCGGCCCTTCCCGAGCACACCCGGGCTGGTGCCGCTGTTCCGGGGCTCGGAGCGCTCCTGGCGCTGCCCTGAGCCTTTCCCTCTCCCCTCGGTCCTTTCCCCGTCCCGCACCTCGGGATGCGCCCGCAGCCGTTCCCACCGCGGTGCCGCTCCCTGCGCTGCCGCTGCTCCCTGGCGGAAGCCCTGCAGACTCAAAGGTCTCGTTCCTGAGTGAAATCAGCCAAGGCCCGGCCCTTTGGTTTTCCCATAACCAACCCTACATTTATTGACACTGAATTTCATCTCCCACTGTCTCCACATCCTTCTGCAGTTCACTCAGCCTTTATTATCATTACACTGAATAATACTATCAGTGGATTTGTCAGTTTCATTATACGTTACTTTTTTTCTATTTTTTTTATATACTGGACATCCAGCTGTTTACTTCCCACCACCATAAAAACCCTCCCTTCTACTCCTCCTTTCCTGTCTTTTAAACAGTTGTCTATGTGACATTTCCCTTTTTGACCAGCAGCTTCTCTTCCTTAAGTGCCTTGAGCAAAGTCATCATTAAGTGCAGTTCAAACTGTCCCAACCAAATCCCCTTTTCCCTGCTTGTTGATGCCTGGAACTGAAGCAATTCCAGTAAAGTTTTGGAGCTGATTTCCCTGTACAGAACCCACAGTGACTCCTCCTCAGTATTCAGCCACTGGTGCTGCATCACAGCATCCATGAATTCACCAAGTGCAGGTGGCTGTAGTTTGAAATTCCTTCTAGAAGCTGCTGTGCCATTGTACCGAGGGAGAGGTCGCCATCCCAGCTGGGAGCTCGGCTTGTTCGTCCCTGACTCCCTCGGAGCCGTAGGTGGCACCGTCTGCTCGTGGCAACTTGTTGTTGCTCATTTCAGCTGAACTTTCATCTCTCCTGAAAGCACTTCTGCTCTGAGCAGATTCCCCGTGGAGCTCTCCATATGGAGTGTTCCTGTGTGAACCCCACCAGCTCTTTCACAGGGAACACATATGCAAACAAGTCACTGGATTTTCTTCTGCTGAGGCTTTCATCTTCAGGTCAGCCCTTCCCTTTGCTGTGCATCCCTCTCTGCTGAATCCCCCTGCTCCTGGTTTTTTCAAAACTACTCATGCAAGTTTTATTCCTCATATTTCGTTTTTCTTTGCATTACTTTGCTGGGTTGGTTTGTTTCTTTGCTTGTTCTACATTTACCTGCCAAATGTTACTCTTTCCATCTCTTACATTTGGACATAAGTTCAGTTTACCAAGGATTTCTTCTTACTCTGAGTATCCCACATGCTCCTGTTTAATCACACCAGCCTCCTTTTGCCCTTGGTGTTATTTTGCTGGGTGGTGAAGCTTTGCTCCTGGCCCATGTGGTCTCTTACACCATCTCCATGCCTCCCATAAACATTTTCAGTCTTTCAGCTGCTCCTTTTACCAGGAGTTTCATTTAAAATTAAGTCACAAAGGAAAACTAAGACTATAATCTGATGGCGTTTAAAAGGTGCAAGAATCAGAACACCAAGCCCTGCAATCCACTGTAGTTCATATTTGGTGTTCCTTAAGCCAGCCAGGATTTCCAGTTGTGTTTTCCGCATGTAGGGATTGGTGACACCGTCCTGCTTGGATAGGGAGGAGCACTGGAAGGTGCTGTACCAACATTTCAGTGTTTACAGGGGGTGTGCAGCCCTCTGTTATTACAGCCAGCACCAGGAGCACTGCAGCCTCCTGCCCTGAGCTGGATTTACCACATTTCCCTGCAGGAAACAACCTGCATGAAGAACATCTCCATCAGGGGGAAGCCCTTGGAAAATCAGTTCTTGATCAGAACTGTCCAGGTGTGCTCCCAGATAAATGACTCCAATCCTGGGGTTTTAAATATAGAGCTATCCCTGCCAGCAGGGTTCTCTGTGGGTAAGGAGGGTCTTTACAAGAGCTCCATGCTCTGGGCTGCCTTGGGGAGCTGCCACCTCCAAGCTCCTTTCTGACCCTCCTCATGAGGGAGAGGGAAGATGTTTGTGCATGCCAAGAGCTGCCAGAATCACTGATCACTGATCCAGCAGGCAGGGATGTGCTCACTGCAGTCCCCAAGACCTTCCAAGAGTCAAAACCCCCACAGCCACTTCTCTGCTGTGGCACAGGGACAGTGTGGGGGCACAGATCGCACACCCAGGTGTTGTTATCTCCCTCTTATCTCCCCGAGCCTCTGCAGGATGTCTGGGCAGTTTCTTTCCACTTGGGTTTCCCTTTAACCCTGTGGGCATCTCCCCTCCTGCTGCACCCCACCCTCCCACATTCCCTGGGATCAGAAATCCCCCAAGCACCATCCTGGCTTTATCCCACCCATCCCTGATTCCCTCAGAGGAATTTCCCCATTGCCCCACCAGCCCTGGGTGCAGCCTGGCCTTGTGCTCACAGCAGCACCATTGAAACACCTGCACCAAATTCTCCCTGCTTGGTGCTGCTCGAGTGTTTAAGGGCTCTAAGACTGAGCTTTGCTTTGATAAACATGATTGCTGGTAATAAAATGGAAAACTGGCAGGACAAATAGCAGCCTTTTAAACAGGCAAGGGAAAAAAAACCCAATACTTCTGCCTTATTTAGTGGATTACCTCAATAAACAAAATATCCCTTATGTTCCATTTTATATTAATCAAAAACTGCATTTCACTTCAAGGAAAGAATTAATGTTTCCTTTAAAAAAAAGATTACTCATTGCAGGAAAATTTGACTGGGTCCTGCTTGGTTTTGTCATCCTAAAGGGCATTTTGGGCTGCCTGAACAGAAAAGTTACAGCACAAACGTGGTTTCAGAGTGGCAACTCGACCAAGTGCCTTCAAGTGAACTTCCAGCAGGAAGTTTCAGAAGTTTTTACTATTTCCCACAATGCTTAAAGCCAAAGGATGAAAACCCACCCAAATGTTAATAATTCAGAACTTCCTGTGCAGATATTAGAAACAGAATATAATATTGGAAGTCCACAGCAGATCAATTTTCTAACAAATTGAATACAAGCAAGACCAACATTGCAACATGAAGTGGCAAAGTGAATCCTGATTGAAAAAAATCAAAATTCTAAACGGCTTTTACAAAAAAATTTTCACTAAGCACTCCAAGAAAGGCTCTGCATTAAGCACTCAGCAGCTCACATTCTTCTACTGTGAAGCAAGACTAACACCTGGCACTAAATTATCCATTTAGCTCTTCAGGAAACTCAGCTGATGTTCCTTTCACTTCTAAGGCAAAAATGGAATAGAAAATGGTTATTCATGAAAAGAAAAATAGGCATGTGCTCTGCAAGGGAAATCCTCCTCCCATACTACTGTTACTCATTACTACATTAAAAAAAATCAAAAAGTGATTCTTGGATTGATGACAACTCTTAAAAAAGTGAATAAATAATTCAAATCACCCAATATTAGATATTTAAACATCTCTGCACACGACTGGAGTGTTTCCTATGCTACGGGGAAGCCACGAGGGCGACCACATCCCCACACAGCTGCTCCCTGAGCTCCCCTGGCACTGCCCTCTGTGCCAGGCTGTGGGCAGAGAGCTGACCCAGCTCCCTGGGAATCCTGGCTGCTCCAAGGCCCATCTCCAGCAGCCCCAGCTGCAGTCCTGGACCAGATCCCAGGGGTCCCTTGGCCCCACGCAGCTCCTGGGCCCTGCTCCTGCCTGCAGGGCCTGCCAGCAGCTAGGGTGGCTGAGCCCTGAAGGCAGCTGGAAGGGAAGGGGAAAAAGCCAGAGAGCAGACATGGATTCATTCCAACCTTTACTTGGTTTGCTCTTTTTTTGTTTGTATTTTTTTTTTGAAATAGAGCTTCCATGCAGAGTTCTCCAGAGTAAGTGCTGATGCCAGAGCCTGCCCCGCCGGCCTTGGCACTGCCACAGACACTTCTGCCACATGGGAGGAAAAGCTTTTGCTACATGACTTTTTTTCTTTTTTTTTTTTCTTTCTTTTTTTAACTTTTAGGCCAACAACATGTTCTCATCTGAACATTACAGTTAATGAGTGCTATCAAGAATTCCTAACAAAAACTGTACATGAGTTTACAAACGTATTAACATATAAATAATGAGAAGCTTCCTGCCTGGAGCTCCACAGTAGTCTTTTTGCTTGAGAATATAATACTGGAAGGGCAGACCCGATCCCTTTCCACAGCACCAGTCAGAGCTGGCTTAGTCCAGTCAGCCATTCTGCTCAAGCATCACAGGGTTTTTCTTCAGTGCCTCTGGCTTTGATAAGCAGTCTGTCATACTGTGCAAAAGCAAGAGTCCAATGCCTTTGGGAAGGAATCCTGCTGCTGAGAGGCCTCTGCTGCCCGGTCACCGCTCGGGGCCGAGCTCCTGCTGGAAGGTTCTCTTCTTCTCCCGACAGTGCTTCTTGTGGGCAGGCCAGTCCTTCTGCTGGCACTGCGAGCCGCAGTACCGCGCCACCTGGCAGCGCCCACAGATGTTGAACTCGCGCAGCTGCGAACAAAAGGTGGGGTTAGAGGGGCTGCCCAGTGCCAGGGGAGCCTCAGCACCCCCAGGGACACCC